GAGCATGCCTGTGGGCCAGCAGATACGCAAGGGCTCAGGAGAGGTGGTGAGCTTTCCAGGAGAACTTTCCCAGCCGTGGAGGCAAACAGCGCTGTGGTGCTATCCCTGTCCCGGGGTGGTGACACGGAGTGCTGTGATGGATGAGCCCGTTCTCCAGAAGGGTGTGTTGGTTGTGTGGGTTCACATCCCCCTCAGGCAGAAGAGGGATTTGGATCCCAGGTACTTCATATCCGGAGTGAGTGTTGCCACTACTCGCCTTCTGCAGCGGCCCGTCTCTTCCAGCTGCCGCTGGCTTGTGAATGGTGTCTGAGTCAGCCCCATCCAACTGGCTCTTTACTTAAATGGCTGCAGTGGAACAAGCCCACGATTTAACCAGAATGATCAAACGAGCAGTTTTTGTACGTTATTTTGGAATAAACAAGTATCCGGGATTATTTTTTTTGTTGTTGGTGGTGACTCCTGTGGGCTTTGGTTTCTTAACCAGAATGATCAAACGAGCAGTTTTTGTATGTTATTTTGGAATAAACAAGTATCTGGGATTATTTTTTTGTTGGTGGTGACTCCTGTGGGCTTCGGTTTCTAGGTCCGTCTGGGTGGTTTGGTTTTTTTTTGGTTGTTTTCATCCATCCGGTGAAGCCGTGAAACAATCCATAGATCCTTATGGATAAATTGCTGCAATAAAATGCAGCCCTCTAGCCAAAACTAGTTGGACTCTGTTCTCACTTCTGCTTTGTTTAGCAAGGCACTGTACATAGCCATAAAAATTGCTCTCCTGCCAAGTCCTTTCCTTGTATGTACATACGTATACTCTCTCTAAGTGCCTCTGGAGGTACTGCCCTCCAGCTGCCTCCTACATTGCACCCCCACCTTGTACAGGAAAAATGCCCTTTTGACATTCATATTTGCATACTAAAAAATACCAGGGGCTTAGTGTCAGGTGCAACCACAGCAGATAAATTTAGGCTAAACTCTGTAGAGTAATCTGACTTGTTTTACGTTACGCAGTTTGTTTCTAACTCAACCTGGAGAGCTCCGAGTAATAAAATTGATGGAAGGTTTGGATGAGGCAACTGTCATGAAGGCATAGCCCTAAAGGAGGGTGAGCAGTAGAAAAATCCAGTGGTGGCGGGGAAGATTTCAGATTGAGATTAGGGCAGTTGAAGAAATAGCCAAGGGAGGCTGCAGAACTAATTGCTTAGATGGGAGAGAAAAAAAAATAATAAATAAAACCATGGTGAGATTGAATGTCTACGTCAACTGGTGAACTGGCTCGGAACTGGAGGCTTCACCTCTGACATCTTCCACAAAAACAAATTCATTGTTGTGTAGACGGAGAGTGGACCCAGCTTGGCAATGCTTCCTCTTGTTGCTTTGGAAATATTTCAGATTGAGATTAGGGCAGCTGAAGAAATAGCCAAGGGAGGCTGCAGAACTAATTGCTTAGATGGGGGAGGAAAAAAAAAAATAAATAAAACCATGGTGAGATTGGATGTCTACGTCAACTGGTGAACTGGCTTGGAACTGGAGGCTTCACCTCTGACATCTTCCACAAAAACAAATTCATTGTTGTGTAGACGGAGAGTGGACCCAGCTTGGCAATGCTTCCTCTTGTTGGTTTGGACATCCTGTGTGTCATTTCTGGGCAGCGTGAACGAGGCGTGGAAATTCCTTCTTTATAAGAAATGGTTATAAGTACGGTTACCGGTAATCCTAATGAAAAGGCATGCAGTGGGAATCACAGACAATGACAGATCAGTATGAGTCACAACCAGACTCACTCTTGTTTATAAAAGCTCTGCAATAAGGGTGGTTTTTGAGTCGTCTCTCTATTGTGCTGTGTGTGGCTATAGTTTGGGGGGGTAGCCATTTAATAATTTCTTTTTAGTGACTTTTAGTGACTTAGTGACTTAGCATATCCCAAAGCATGAGCCTTTTTTTCCCATTTTTTCTGTGAAAATGAGATTTGCTAGTCTAAGGTAGCTTAGCACGTTTCCTATAGCGGCTGGCTGCTGCTGCTGTTACAGCACAATGCTATTATTTCTTGCCCAAAATGATGATCTGTGGAGTTTCATCTTAGCAAGCTGTTTGTTTATGCAATAATCAAGCTTGGTGTCTGTCCTGACATGGGCTTCCAGCGGGCAGCTTTGCTGAGCCTGACTGGGTATGGCACTGAGTCTAACTGGGTATGGCTCTGCGTCCTTGATGCCTGTTGGGATGTTGATATACTGATTTGAGCTTCTTGAGGGGAGATCAAGGGAATGACTCTATGGTCAAGAAGTCTGGAATAGGGATGAGGGGACAAAAAACCCAGGGAGCAGAAATCAGGTCTTTCAAGGGCTGGGGAGGACGATGCTTTTGTTTTGATGCTTTCAGGAAGGCTTTGCTTATTTCCCAACGCCCTTCAAAACGTTGAAAATTTCTGTTCCTTGGTTTCAGCTCAGGGTGTGTATTTGTTTTGTTTTAAAGCTAGTCACGTGCTTAAAGATTATGCTTAAACGTAATCCTTGTGACTAAAAATGGTCTTAGAGCTGTGCCCAAGCGTTTGGCACAGAAGCGCTGGCTGGTAGTGGCCCTGGTGCGTCTCTCCATCCTGCCAGGTTGGACATGTGATTGTGCTGTCCCAGGGATGGGGAAAGGAACAGTGATAACTGTTTGACCACAGTGAGAAACAGACTTTTCAGTCATACTAATAAAGTGTAGACGAGTTTGACAATTACTTTACTCAAGGAAGAAGTCTGTTTTGTCTGTAGTTATTAATTATTGGTGTTATGCTGTTAACACTTCTTACCTGGGTGACGTAGACATCAGAAAAAAGACGACCAAGAATATTTTGTGAACTAAGCATGATAAATAAAGCCCCCCACAGAACCCAAAAAACAATGGTGGTATGGAAAACAAAACTCTGGGCTAGGCTGGAAATAGTTGTTTTACTTTCTCTTCTGAAAACTACTTTGGCTTTGCATTACTCTCTTCATTTCCCAAACTCTGGGCTAGGCTGGAAATAGTTGTTTCACTTTCTCTTCTGAAAACTACTTCTGGCTTTGCTTTACTCCCTTCATTTCCACACCCTGTGGACGTTGCCCCTGTGATTGTTGTGTGCGTGCTTGGAAGGTCATTGCAGAAGGTAGTTCCTAGCCTCTATGGTTGTCTTTTTTTTTTTCTTTTTTTTCCCCTCTGTAAAACCCAGATCGAAAACCTCTGTGAGAGCATTTCCAAGGCAGAAATGCAAATGTCACAGGGTGCAGCTGCTGGAAGAGGTGACAGAAGTCAGTGTAGATGCTCAGGGCTGTCCCACTGTTTAAAAGCTGTAGGAAAGTTACTAAGTGACCAGGTTCTTACTAGTGATATAGAGGATTGGTAAACTAATCATTACAGGTATATGCAGAAATTTGGCAAGCCTCACAGTTTTTGAGGTTTTCATTTAAAGCCTTTGATCCTGGAAGCAAATAGGTAAGGCAGCTTCAAGGGCGTGTTAAGTCTTTGGACTCCAAGATTGTATAGAAAGGCTGGGAAAAGGCTCAAGACCAACAAAACTCAAAAGCGTGAAGGGGTATCTCTGAGCACTCTTGTGCCCTACTCCCCCTAGCAGTGAGATTTTTGGTGCCTGATGTTTGCAAGTCAACCAGGAGCTGCAGTGTTCCTGGTGGCAGGGAGGGACGGTAGCCCAGGACAACTGCATGATCCCTGGGGCTTTCACAAAATATTGCAATGAAGAATCAGGCCCTGCAAAACCATGAGATTGCTGTAAAAATCAGGACATCTTAAAACAGAGGTTTAAAAATAGGACAGGTGGGTTTTGTGGGAACTTTAATCACTAAAGCTGAAGTTTTGAGTAGGATGGAGGGTGGTTGGTTTTGAGTTGGGTGGTTTGACGTTGGTTGAGGGTCTCTAGTGTGTGCTCATCTGCCACGAGAGGGCTCTGCTGACCAAGGTTTCCCATGGTGTGCTCAGCCCCGCTCCCCACAACCTTCACCAGGTGAGTCCCGGGGTCTCTCTGGGCTTTGGCCAGTGTCCTTGCCATCGCTGTGGTGATAGCAGCTGGCATGGACCAGGCTGGATGTTTAGGTGCTCAAGGGACGGTGAGTGGTCAGGTAAAGCCTGGGGCACCCTGCAGATGTGCATTTCTGAGCCAGCTGTTCTCCTGCATCTTCCTGGCATGCTGCCTAGCAAAAAAAGAAACCATAAATATATATTTTTCTATAAACACTAAAAGCACAAGCGCTGTACAGAATGTGATTGTATCTTCCATGCGTTGAAATAAGGAAAGGAGAGTAGGGATAACAAATGGCAGAAAACTTATGAACTGGCCTGTCCTCAGATTTTCACCTGGGGTTGGGATATGGTTGACTTCCATGCAAACTCTGCTCACTTTGGCCAGGACTGGGCTGAGTATTTGCTGAGCATCATGCTGATGCCAATAACTTTTCTAATCATCTTGAATGCCCAGTTGGTGCTCCTTGGTGTCTTGTATTGCGTGTATGTTTTTAGAAGACAGTCAGGTCTGGCCTATTTGTTGATAATCTTCTCGTATTGAATGGGTAGCAGTTTATGCAATGAGCACTTAACTCTGTGGCTCCAGTATTTCCTGTGAGAGCTGCTCCTGCATTTGGTATTCCTTGAGGATGGGTTGGAATACGTGAAGACTGCTGAGGCTTTTATGTATTCCCCAAAAGCCATAAGTCTATGATGGTCATGTTGGGGATACAGAAAAGGTATCCAAGCACACATGGTTCATCCCAGGCCACAGGTGCCACAGCACCTTCTCAGGGGCTGCTGAGCAGCATTGCATGGATGTCCTGTGCCAGGGAGGTGGTTGAGTTACCATCCTTGGATGAGTTTAAGAGTCGTTTAGATGTGGTGTTGGGGGATATGGTCTAGGGGAGAACTTTGTAGAGTAGGTTAGATGGTTGGACTTGATGATCCCAAGGGTATTTTCCAACCTAGATGATTCTATGATTCAGAGAATGAGTTGCAAAAGGTGGGGAGGGTGGGAGAAGGCCATGACCACAAGTAAAAATACCTTTTGGTGTGTGCTTTTGGTATTGCCAGAGGACCTAGTCTGATCTGCAGTAATTTTTGGAGCATACCCAGAGATTCACCGGTTACTATCAGGTGCAGTGGAAGTTGAGAGTTTCTTTGTTGTTTGGCTGCTGAATAAACTTCCTCAGTTGAGTCACAACTTCATGCCTGCCTTCAGAAATGAAGCCAGCTTTGTGATCAGCATAACAGGCCTAAAGATAAAGCCTGGACAACAGAATTTTGGAAGGAATAGCTGAGTTGTTTTTCAAATGTGAAATAAATAACACCCATGAAGGGTAACCTGGAGCAGAACTGGTCCTACACAAATTCCTCTCTCTGAGCTCACGCAGCAACCGTATTTCTGTATCATCTGTGGTGGGTTGGAAGAGCTGAGGCAATTTCTGCAGGTCTAACAATAGAGGCTTTTGAGAACAGCGATGCAAATACTCCTGACAATGTGGCATCTGTAGGGATATGTGGAGAGCCTGGTGATATTCATATGTGCAAGTGACAAAACACCTCTGTTTGTGTTGTTTTTTTTTTCTTTCTTAGCTTCCTTCACGATTTCTCTTCGGACGACAGACAACATCACAGTTGCGATTAATCTGAGACCTGGTATTTTCGCGGGTTGTCCAATTCGTGTTAAAAATTCCATCAGGTCTGAACTCAAGATAAAACCTGGGGAGAACGTGACTTTTACTTTCACTTGTAGTACTCCAGAGAAGTATTTCATCATGGAAATTAAGAAAAATATTGGTAAGCTACAGGTTTTTAATTTTTCTCCCCAATGGTAATTTTCCTCCAGAAAAACCACATACCTTTTTTTCCTGTTACTGTATTAAGGTATCCTCTGTAATCTTAGGTAAGAAGAAATCTTTGAACACTGATAAATAACTTTGAATTACTGAACTATGCAAGTTAAAAAAGTCTATATTTTGGCTGGCAAAATGAATTGTCTGTTTTGGAAACAGTTAAATGATAGTTTGCTGCATCAATTCCTTGCTGCCTTCCCTTCTCCCACATTTGATAAAACCATCAAAGAATTTTTTTCTTCTGTCCAAAACCTCTGGGCACTGATGATGATATATTACCCACATTATTCATTGAACAGCCTGATTGTAAATGTGAAACATTGAAGACATTCACATTTCCTTTTTTTAATGAACTTTATTGAAGTCAGGAAACTGAAAATTTGTTAGTGTTGGAACTAAACCTTCATTTGCTTTGAATGTCATCCCTGGTGTATGTATGCTAGTGTACTTTTTAATGGCATGAGCTCATGCTACTTCTCAACAAGATCCCAGACTTCATTGAGTATTCAGTCTTTGGTAACATCTTCATTATTTTTGGGGTGGTGTTGAAGGATAGTTCTCTTTGGGAGTTTTATTCATATGGTTCATGTGAACAGTAATGTTCACAATATTTCATGATATGTCTTTAAGATGCAGTTGTGCTATTTCTTCTTTTAAGTTGGAACCTAGACATTGTTTATTTTTATTGTCCAGCTTGAAATAACAATGTTCTAGATTTTTCAAAGAAAAGTTTTCTGGATTCTCCCCAGAATCCTGCAGCGGCAGTTGTTGTTACTCATCACTTCTGCAAAATTTGGGAGCCAGGTTTTTTATCAGAGCACCAAGGAAAAGAAGTTTATGGCAAGCAGTGGAAAATCTCATAGATGATTGATGTGCCATGAATTCTCCAAGCGAGATGAAATGAAATCAGGTCTCTAGATTGATAGCTTCCACCTCTCCTGATGCTGCATTTCTCCCCTTTGCCCATCCACCTCTCTACCCTATTTGCTAAATACCTTCTAAATTCTTCAGCAAACAAGGTGGGAGGAATACTATAATGAATCCCTTCTATTAGTCAGCTTGACTAAAGCAGGTTTATCCTGTCTACTCTATGGGCTAGGAACCCTGTTTAGAGATAGCATGTGACCGTGTTATAGGAGTGTCTTTTCAATGCATGTAGAAGAGAAGTGCAACGTAAAAATTGCGAAAATAGCAATCAAAGTGTCAAATTCCTCATGTACCTGAATGCTTCCCAGAGCATATCATGACTGTTCTCTCTCTACATTTAGACTGTGTGTCAGGTCCGTGTCCCTTTGGAGACGTTCATCTTTACCCACCGGGGCTACCTCGCCTTGACAGGACTTTCATCTGGGATGTGAAGGCGAGTACAAAGGCTGGTCTTGAACTGAAATTTTCTGCCCCGTGGCTAAGACAGGTTGAACCTGGAGAGACATGCCCAGATTTTGTTAGTTACAATATCAACAGCAGTATCGATAAGGCCACGGTCAACATCGGCACCTTCTGCAGGAACGGCTCGGTATCTCGCGTCAAGCTGCTGGGAGGCGTCATCATGTCTCTGCACCTCCCATGGAACTCATCTCTCACCACCTCGGGCTTCAACATAGCTAACAGGGCTTCCATAAAACGTAAGTATGGAGTAGTGTTTCCTCACCTGTAGTCGCCTCGTGCAGATTGCAGCAGAATTCTCTAAACCTTTCTTCTTGGGTAACCTTCTAGTTTCCATGCTGCTACCCCTGATTCCCTTCCACTTCATCTTTTCTCAAAGCTGTTGTTGTGTGGATTTTAGTTTGGTAGCTGTTGCTCTTCTAGCATCAAGATATCTTGGCTTGCTTGGTTAACCTAATAATTACAAAAACTGTTCTGAAGCTGCTTTTGGTGCACACTAGTAGTTTTCAATTGCTTTAAATTTCATAAAGCTTAAACATACTCACTCTGTTTTTATTTTTTTAGCTAGGTGAGGCTTGATGGCACAAGTAGAACGAGCCAAGACAGTTATTTACTGGTTGCAGTGTGGAGTTGGGTTTGTTTATTTTTTAAATAAAGCTTCCTTAACTTGCTGGAGTCTCAAACCACCGCCCCTCTCCAGGAGAGGAAGGTAGGAAAAGGGGAAGCAGTGCCTGGAAGGCACTTGAGGCTGCCTAAATGCAGGTATCTGTTTCAACCTGCACAGTAACATAAGCCCTTGTGCAATAATCTTCTTAAAATGCCTGGAATATTACACAGCGATCAGTGGGTTTCTTTGTGGTCTCGTGACAAACCCTCTTCGGGGGATGTTATTGCTCTTTGCTTGGGTTCTGCGGTGGTTGCCATCAGTGATGGAAGAACCCCCGACCTGGTCGGGGTTTGAGGTTCTAGAACACAAGGTTTTGGGTTTTTTTTTTGTAACTCCTGGCACTCCTCACAGTAGCAAATCGCTGCTGGAGTCCTAGCGTGGCACCGTAATCTCTGTGTACCCAACTTCATGCTGCCAAGAGTCATCCAAGCATGAAGTGTCTCCCGCAGTCTCCACAGCTTGCATTGGTGTTTTATGGTGTGTATTTGAGGCTCTCTCTGCTGGCCTGCTCTCCTTAGATTGGAGAGGGATTTGGACGGAGAGCTCTGTGCCGGTATAAAAGCTCACACCTTTTGTTTTCCCAGAACCCAGTGGAGCAGAAGCAGTTGTCAGGCTGCGTGTTTGTTCTTGTAAAGCCAGGACAAGAAGTAGGAACTAGGGTGTTTCCAAAAAAAACAAAGGCCTCTCTGCCTGTGTGTTTGAAAGGTAGACCCGCTAAACTGAAAATACAGCTTTAATACATGCCCTGCCTCTTCTGTAACTGAAGACAAAATCATCAACTCAAATATGTGTTTTAGTCTGAGGGTTTTGTAAAACCTAACCTGTAGCTGAAGCGCGTGGTCCCACCATCAAAATAAAAACACTCTGCTGCTGAGGCTGTTACATGTGCCAGTGTGTCGTCTTTAACTGCAACTTATGTGTGGTTTTAATCACCCTTGTTTTAGGGTTATGCATTATTGAATCCATTTTGAAGGGCGAGTCTTCAACCACCCTGATGTCCCCGAACTACCCGCTGGGCTTTCCAGAAGATGAGCTCATGACGTGGCAGTTTGTGGTTCCTTCCAATATGAGAGCCAGCGTGTTTTTCCACAACTACAGCCTCTCCAACTGCGAAAGGAAAGAGGAGAGGGTGGAGTACTACATCCCTGGCTCCCCCAGCAACCCGGAGGTGTTCAAGCTGAGTGACAGCCAGCCTGCCAATATCCCTGGCAGTTTCAACCTGTCCCTGCAGGGCTGTGATCAGGATGCTCAGAACCCGGGCGTTCTCCGCTTGCTCTTCCAAGTTGTTGTGCAGCACCCGCAGGTTGATGAGAGTAAGTGCCTGCCTGCCCCTTCCATTGCTGTTTCTTACAGAGGCCTGGGCTGGGCACCAGAAGGAAAAATACTTTTAACACCTGTATTATCAGGTCATGCAAGTTATATAAGCAGAGATAGGTTTTTCCTTCCAGCTGTGTTCCCTCTGGGGCACAACCCAGCTATCGGGCAAGGACTGTAACTCCTGGATGGGAACTGGCCAGGCTGAGGTGGCACTGCCTGTTCTCCAGTGCAGAAAACAAGTTCAAGCTTATTTGGACAGTTTTATTTTCAGCTGTAAGATTCAACGTTTCAAAGACAATGCTTAAAACATGAGCCCAGGTTTCTGTTCTGTTTGTAAGCAGTCGCCAGGGGAAACCTGCTGGTATGGCTGGTCAGGATCCATAGCACTGAACTGGTCAAACTGGAGATGTAAAACTGTCTTTGTACCACTAATGATGTCAATAAGCATTTCTTTCCTTCCTTTCTTTCTTCCTTCCTCTGAGTCTTATTTTGCTTCTTAGAGAAGCCTGAACATCATCAGTGTGACGAAATCACGCTAGACATGGAAGGTGTCAATAAGATACTCCAATTATAATATCCCCTACACATTTGGATGTTCTTTTAGGTTTCTTTCTGCTTGGTGGTACCCTAAGAATTTTTTATTTTTTTTTTTTTGCCCCCAAATTCAGACAGGCTTAACATAATGATGTGTAATACACAGCATCTATCTAAAAACAGAAGTAGAAGGCCTGGCTAGGTAATGAGCTATGAAATAAGTGATTTATCCTCTGGCTGCTTAGCTCTGACCTCAGTTTGTGGTGGAGTTTAATAGTCAAGGTGTCCTTACTGCAGAAGAGCAGGTGGAGGGAAATCCATGCTCTGGACTGCTGCTGCATCAGGAGTTACTTCACAACTAAGTCATTTTAGGGGGAATGAGGTTTGAATGGCCTGTACCTTGAAGTCACATATCCAGAAAAGGTCTGTAGCATCTCACCACTGTAGCCCTCAGTTCTTTGTCTAGCCTGGCTCCATTCATGAGCAGCAAACTGTCCTAAAATTGTTGGTAAGCAAATCGTATTTGCTTGCATTTATTTTATGTTGCACCTTGGAAGCCAGACAGAGTGAAAACATTGTATTCTGCTAATCAGATTTATTTCCCTTCTAGTCTGGAAAGCAAAGAGGAATTTTAATATATTTATGGCCAGTAGACAAGACAATAATCACCTAAAAAATCAATAAATGACAAGCTGTTTTTTTAATGAAATTCAAGCACTAAACTGCTTAAATTTAAGAGACAACAGTAGCTTTTCTAGGGATTTTATAGGATTTAATGAGTGATTTTGTAGTTATGTAAGTTCCATCAAAGATTCAAATCAGCCCTTAGGACAGCATTGGAACTTTTATTTACAGAAAAAGAAAACCAAAAAATGCTGTCTGCAGTGTGCAAGTTAAACATCACTCTTATTAAAAATGTATTGGTATCTGCATATTCTCAAAGCTTCCCAGACGTTTGGGTATTCCACAGCTGTCTGTGGTGCTTGTCATTAAATAGAAGGAAAATGCAGCTCTTTTCATTCAAAATAATTTATTATCTAAATCTCTCTGTGTTAGCTGCCATAAAAATAATTAAAAAAAAAAAAAAAAACATAACTCTTATTAAAAATGTATTGATATCTGCATATTCTCAAAGCTTCCCAGACGTTTGGGTATTCCACAGCTGTCAGTGGTGCTTGTCATTAAATAGAAGGAAAATGCAGCTCTTTTCATTCAAAATAATTTATTATCTAAATCTCTCTGTGTTAGCTGCCATAAAAATAATTAAAAAAAAAAAAACAAAACAGAACCAAAAAAACCTGGCAACTCTGAAGAATGAATAATCCTGTGGTAGAAATCCCAGGTTCTGTGCTTGGTTGTGCCAATGACTCAGATTTCTGCCTGACCTCTTGCCTTTTTGTGCGTCTGATTTCCCCTGCAGGAGAGAACTATTTTATTCACCTTTTGTTTATGCCTTGAAGATCCATAGCTGAAAACAGAAAATGAATAATAATAACTGTATCTATTTAATTTTTTCTAATCTCTCCTTTCTTTGACGTCAGAGACATGTGCCTTGTTAACATCGTAAGGATGCTGTGTGGATCTGAGACCTCTCTTTTCGTATGATAATTAATCTTTTAACTAGGCAACAGCCATAATATTGGATTTTTCCTCTTTCCTTTCCTCTCCTTCCAGATAGCCTGAGTATTTGCAACTGTCATTAGCTTAGGGTGGGAGAAGGTGTTTGTCATCCCTGCGTACCCCTGTTGATCTGACTTGCTGTAGCAAGTCATCTAGGAAGTTACAGAATGGCTGAGGTTGGCAGAGACTTCTGGAGATCATCTAGTCCAGCCTCCTCCTGCTCAAGCAGGGTCAGGCAGAACAGATTGCCTAGGACTGTGTCCGGTGGGGTTTTGAGTATTTCCAAAGACTTCACAACTTCGCTGGGTAACCTGATGCAGTGTTTGACCACCCTTGCATTATTTTTGGTTTTATTTAATGTTTAAGCAGCATTTCCTGTATTTCAATTTGTGCCTGTTGCCCTGTCACTGGACAGCATTGAGAAGAGTCTGACACCATATTGTTTGCACACATGAGCACACGCACCCCTGAGCCACCTTCTTCAGCTAAATGGTTCCAGCTCTCTCAGTCTCTTCTTCTTTGAGAGATGCTCCAATCCCTTAAGCATCTTGGTGGCTCTTTGGCCTTACTCCAGTACATCCATGTCTCTTCTGTCCTGGGGAGCCCAGAACTTGACTTAGCACATCTCACCAGTGCTTTAGAAGAGGGGGAGACTCACCTCACTCAACCTGCAGTTGATGCTTTCCAGCATAGCCTAGGAAGCTGTTGGCCACCTTTGCTGCAGAGGCACATTGTTGGCTCGTACTCCACTTGATGTCCACCACGACCCCCTGGTCTTTCTGCAAAGCTGCCTTCCAGCCCCACTCTTACAAACGTATTGAGAGTGCACTCTGTCCCATCAGCTTTCCCACTAGTGAAAATGTTAAGCAGTTTTGGTCTTGGTTTATGCCTCCTTAAGCAGATATTTGAGATGAATCTCACTGTTTCGGGGGGGTACCAGGGATGATGATTGCTGCATGCACGTGGACACCTCGGGTCCAGTGAGCTCAGAGGGTAGCTGGTGGGGTATGGAGAAAGGGATGGATTGCAAGAGAAGTGGTGACTGGTGTTGAGGAAGGGGAAGGTGCTTTTTAATTTTCAGGGTTAACTCTGCCAGCTCTCAGGTTTGCCTTTTACAGCTAGTCAGAAAATGCTTCTGGAAGAATGCTTTTGAGCAACCAAATGCAAGGGCAGTGTGGTAGTTCAGTCATGCTGTTGAGGTAAATGAAGCAGTCTAGCAAGGTGTGATCCTCAGCCTTCCCACCGGCACGGTGACAGACTTTGATCATTTGTGGCATCTCTGTATGTTTTTAACTTCCAAACAGGAAAGAATTTTAGGGAGCGTCTTTGAAGGCTCCAGTAACTTTCCTAATGACTGCCAGCACTTTTGCTGAAGCACAGAACTTGGCAATTTTTTCTCTTTTGAACTATATTGGTACTTGCATTTAAATTAGCTTAATCTTTAACTGGCTCCAGACAACCAGATGTGCTTAATTACTGACTTCCAACAAATTTCTTCAGCTTGGCTCCAAAAAACCTGAACCAACAAAAAGTTAGCAGAGACAGAAATCTAGATGGAAATAAGAAATTTGAGAATGGAGGACCTTTTTTTGATCAACTGTTGTGTGATCGGTAGAGCTGACTTTGAAAGAAATAAGAGAAACCTCTTAAGAAAACCAAATTTAACAGGGGTGGTTGAGCTCCTTATGTTATAGCCTGACCTGTTCAAAAGGGGCTGGCATACGTGTGGTACTGTTACAACTGGAAAATGGTAGCAAAAGGGGGTTGGTGTGCTGAAAAGCATAAATCTCTAAATTAGAAGAGTGATATGACACTGCCTGAGTTTGTGTTACACCGATGGAAAGAAGTAAATAACGTTTTCTTAACTAATATGGAAATAGCTATAACAGCTGCTCATCTAATGGGGTGAGAAGAGATGGAGGAAATTGTGCTTCACGCAATAGCTTCACACAGTAATTGCTCTGGGATGTTTTTCGTTGCAGATGTCACCCATTTGGTGGACCTGAGCAAGGAATGGAATATGAGTGTAACGATACACTTTGAAGGGTGGCCCGGCCCCATCCCAGTCATGTCCGAGCCCATATGCCTCATCTGTAAGGATCCGCGCACCTGCGACCGCGTCTTGACTCTAGTGTCTGGCACCGTCTACAAGATCTCCTTTCTGTGCAAGGACTTGTCCCGGCTGAGGATCACAGCTGAAAAAGGCATAAGTATGACAAAAGTGGCTTCATGTTGTCTCCTAGGGAGTGCTTTTGGGTGCTTTGCCCCAGGGATCAAACCTTCTATCCCCATTGAGCTTTAAATAGAGTGAGGTCAGAAACCAGGCTCCAGCCAGCTGGGAGAAGGGTGCGATGAATCTGGAGACGAGCTTGTTGTTCATTATGTCATTCTACCTTTAAAAATAGAAACTGCATAGCTATTCCTAGAAGGGAAAGGACAGAAGGCAGCCAAGAATCTTCTTGCTGAAAACTGCAGAATATGGGAACGGAGCAGGAGAGCCATAAGCCTGCCCAGTAAATGGAGGACCAATGTGGCCATCAGGAACATCTTGTGCTGCTTGCATGTCCACCTGGTGTAGGATTTTCCCAAATGCTTTCAACTACCAGTAGAGAAAGAGTTTTAAAGTATATATCTGGACCTTAGCTAGTCTGCAACAGTGTCCCAGTCAGCAAGTGACAGAGTAAAAGCAGCATCTTGAGTGAGGGATTTTGAATATGTTTGCATCTGTTGGTTTCTTTGGTGTCTTGCACCCTTTTAAGGGAAGCTCTTTAAAAACAAACGATGCGTGTTTGGGTAAAGGTTACTAAGACAGGATATTTTCCTCAGGTAGATGCTTATCTGGCTTTGTAACACAAAACTGACAGTACTCTGTGTTTGTGCGTGTACTCTGGTACATGGGAAAATTTGCTTTTCATTGATATTTCCTCTGAAGAAAAATACAACCCTTGGGACTTTTTTTGTGATTGCAGGCTGTGTCGATCTTCGGTGGTGTCAGAGGAAGATCTATTCCCTTTTGGTGCCCAAGGCTGTCACCCAATTGCCAATTCAACTGCATAAGTTCATTTGGAAGCTCTTGGCTTCCGATCTGATCAACATAGAGATTACATCTCCGTCCTTGAAACTTCAGCAACACGTCCCAGAGCAGAGGTGCAACACAAGCTACAGTTACGGCATTGTTAGTGCCACCCCAGAGAAGGAGTTGAACGTTGGTGTGTTCTGTCCTGGTGGATCCATTGAAAAGATTCAGATGAGGAACAATGTCACCATATCCTTAAAAACATTTGGTAAAGGATTCCTCAATGAGTCTAAATATCAGGATCTGCAGATGACTTTTGTGCCACATATTAAAGGTAAGGTAACGGTTTGTATTACTGTGTTGTACAGTGTTGGATTTCTCAATAAACTTGTTAAAGCGCATATAACTAAATAGAAATAAGAGTTCAATTATTTAGAGCCTAGTCCTGGAGCCACTGCTAGGATCAATCTTTATCAGAATCAATGAGGTGGTTTATTCCTGGAAGAAGGAAGGAACTTTGTGTTCTATATGACAAATAGCTGTTTGTGGGGAAACTCTTCAGATGTATTTGTGCTAATTGGATAATTGCCAATGTAGAAGGGATGATAGGTGAGTTTTATTGCTGGTACTGAGATGCAGTTGACTGTTACAAATTTGCTGGTTGCAGGTATAAGGGATGCTTTTATTTTTTTTGTTACAGAGGAGAAAGACCAGATAATTTTACATGCTGAAAGAGAAATCTTAAAAAAAATAAATCTGAGTTTTCATTCCTTTCCTTTGTTACAGATGAGTGCTCTTTCACTGTGAGTCCAGCTCCAAAAGCTAAAGTTTACTTGCAGACTCCCAACTGGCCATATGGCCTACCCCCTTATGTCTCCATATCCTGGTACGTCGTCGTGCCCAGCAAGCAAGTTGCCCGCCTAGGGTTCTCCAAGGACCGCATGGGCCTCGCTTGTGAGACAGGCCGTGCCTACGTCAACATAAAGGAGGAGACTATGGGGGCAGAGGAAACTGTGCGCCGTGAGGATGAGCTTCTGCCCGAGCCCCGGAATATGTATCACGACTTCTGGGTAAACGTCTCCAACTGTAAACCCGTAGACAGGACGCAGCTGACCTTGCAGTTCTGGGTGACTCTTGCTGACAAGCAGATAGGTGAGTCCTGTAAGGTTGTGGTGGTTTGCCTTCTGCTTGTTTCCTTGCTTTCCCTTGGGGGAGAGTAATGGATGCTGGTCCACCTTGGGTGTAGGATCCCTGCCTTCAGAAACACCTGTCCCTCAAAAACATCTGAGGGTTACAGCTGGGTGCCTCTAGAGGCTGGGAAGGAAAGAGGGTTTATAATGTGGTTGGCGTTGGGTTTTTTTATGAGTCAGGCAATTGCAGGGCTATGAGGAAGAAAGACTAGATCTTATTTTCTTTATTTAATTTAGCTTTATTAATTGGAGATCACAGCCAGAAGGTATAAGAAGATCAAGTGGTGTTTTTTCCCTCCCAAGGTCACAGACTCGGTGAACTCGTCGTGCCCAGCAAGCAAGTTGCCCGCCTAGGGTTCTCCAAGGACCGCATGGGCCTCGCTTGTGAGACAGGCCGTGCCTACGTCAACATAAAGGAGGAGACTATGGGGGCAGAGGAAACTGTGCGCCGTGAGGATGAGCTTCTGCCCGAGCCCCAGAATATGTATCACGACTTCTGGGTAAACGTCTCCAACTGTAAACCTGTGGACAGGACGCAGCTGACCTTGCAGTTCTGGGTGACTCTTGCTGACAAGCAGATAGGTGAGTCCTGTGAGGCTGTGGTGGTTTGCCTTCTGCTTGTTTCCTTGCTTTCCTTTGGGGGAGAGTAATGGATGCTGGTCCACCTTGGGTGGGGGATCTCTGCCTTCAGAAATTCCTGTCCCTCAAAAACATCTGAGAGTTACAGCTGGGTGCCTCTAGAGGCTGGGAAGGAAAGAAGGTTTAGAATGTGGTTGGGGTTGGGTTTTTTTATGAGACAGGCAATTGCAGGGCTATGAGGGAGAAAGACTGGATCTTATTTTCTTTATTTAATTTAGCTGTATTAATTGGAGATCACAGCCAGAAGGTATAAGAAGATCAAGTGATGTTTTTTCCCTCCCAAGGTCACAGACTCGGTGAACAACTTGGGATTTGATTATACAAACATATTCATCCAAGTAGTCTCTACTTTGTGTTAGCAGTTCAATTAGTCTCAGTGTTCACATGAGCAGGAAATCATCCCTTGGGCTGGTCTGACCATTTAGTGGAGACTCTGCTGACTACTAACAGCAAAATCGGCATTCTTGGTCTCTTTCATCTCCCCAAACGTGAATCATTAAAAAGAAAGAAAGCATTTTTAGGGTAGGCTTTGCTCATGTAAATTTACTTCCCATTTGCACTCCCTCTTCATCTGTGGGAGACTGCTGTCTGTAGAAATATTGGCTACATGGATAAGGTTGAAACAGTCAAATTCATTTCTATTTTTCCTTTTTTTTGTAATGTATATTCCTTTTAAAACATGCAGCATTTGTCTTTGCTCACACATGGACTTTTCTGATCAATTTATGGCTCTTGGAAAACCCCTGGTCAACACAATTCTTGTATTTCAGAGAAAAGGATTGTGTTGAGGGGAAGTTGGTGAAATGTCTGTTTCCTTTGTTGAATCCCTCTCTGTCTCTCTCTGCCCTTTCTTCTTTTCCCTGCCTGTTCCACCAGAGGCACGTGAGATGTTGCAGGTAGGTTTAGCAGCCCATGAGCTGTATTAAATTCTTGGAGGGTGGTGGGATGGTTGGGTTTTTTGGCTGTGCTCCACCGCTAGCAGCAGGAGTTTGTCGTTGCTTGGCCTCCAACCTCTTGGAAATGGCTTGTGTTACCCCGTGGTGAGCATGGCTTGGAAACACCTGCTCCACAGGCACCTGGTATGCTTGGAAACCCAAATCCATTTGGCTTTTAGAAGAAACCTGAGTGTTTTCTCTCTCTCACTCGGTGTTCTTGTACCTTGTCTGTTTGCAGACCTAGGAGTGATACTTGCTGTGGTGGCTGGGGCTGGAGTTCTCGCAGCTATTGGACTCACTGTGTGCTGTGTGAAGAAAAAGTAAGTTCATAATTTGGCATGTGTAACTTACCAGTTCAGGAAGGCATTTCAGGAGAGGTACTGGGGCCTCTGTTTCGGATGTTGATACAGATCCCTCGAACAAGGGTCTGAAGCATGAAGTAGGCAATGTGTTGGCTGTTGAATTAGAACAACTCGAAGAATGCTGTTTTACTCTACACTGATTGACTTTAAGAGTAGAGCACCATTCCTTGAGTCGTGTTACTTCCACCCCCAGTGAATTCCCTACCTTGGCCTTACTTAGCACAGGCTTCTGGCTGTACTGGAAGTAAGGTATGGGTTGGACTTCATCAGCAATTCCTGTGAAATGAAATTGGAATGAATGTGGCTGATGTGCCTGTGCCTCTAGACAAGGCTTTGTTCAGACAAGCTGTAAACTCACTCAACGATACTAAGAGCTATCTTTCATCTACACAACCTCCATCTACCTCTTCTGGAGTTTGCACATCAAGTGGGAGTGCTTTTCTACGAGCTGAGCCCTTGGGGAGAGAACTCAGTTGTGCAAAGCAAACACGCGGAGCCTTACTCATGCGAGCAGAGCCTGAAGTCATCGATAGCTTGGGGTTTCCAATACGTGTATGCTGACTGTTGGTGGGGTGATTGGGTGAATCAATTTGTGAATTGGGTGATTGGGGGAATGAATTTGTGCAATATGATGACTAGAGCAGTTAGGAGCACACTTCTCTGCCATGCAGGAAAGACTTCACAAATACAGGCTTAAAAATCAGCCTTAGGTCTTCCTACCCTGGGGACAGTCACTCCAGAAAATGCCATCAAGAAAAGTTCACTCAACTTTTAGGGATGACCCACTATCTTACTAGACTTCAGCAATGCTCTTTTGTGAAGACCTGTTGGCCTCTAGGTCCTATTAGTGTCTGTGGATGTTGGGAGACTCAGTACACTGCACAGCTGGGACCCCCATACTTGGGAGGCCATTGGATTTGATCTTGCAAGCTTCAGGCTCAGCAGAACAGCAGTAGGTAACCAAATCGTGTGAAGTTATTTTCGGCTCTGCCAAAATAGCACGTCTAGACTCAGAAGTTGTTTTTCCTAAGATTGTAAGTAAAGCCTTCAATCCAGGTAGGGTAGCTGGGATGGGTAAAGAGAAGCTGCTGTTAATGAGTTCAAAGGCACCAGCCATTGTCTTGTTTCTGACCTTTTAAAAATTTCAACCCTGTAACAGGAAGAAGAAGAGCCAGAATCCCATGGTGGGAGTGTACAATGCTAACGTGAATACCCAGGTCCCTGGAAAACAAGGATTATTCACAAAAGGGAGGAAGAACAATGAGTCTCATGTCTATGCAGTTATTGATGATGCTATGGTCTATGGACACTTGCTGAAGGAATCCAATGGCTCAGTCTCTCCAGAAGTTGATGTGTACAGGCCTTTTGATGGACCCGTTGGTAGCTTGCCACCTTCTCCACCTCCATTCTCCTTCAGAAAAGACAAACGCTCTTCTAACACTGAGGAACCTCCATCTCCGACAGACGCAGACCAGGACACTTATACATTCGCTCACCAGAAATCGGGACAATCAGAGGATGATGGAGATACAAATGAAAAGAATGATGGAGATACAAATGAAAAGAATGATGGAGATACAAATGAAAAGAATGATGGAGATACAAATGAAAAGAATGATGGAGATACAAATGAAAAGAATGATGGAGATACAAATGAAAAGAATGATGGAGATACAAATGAAAAGAATGATGGAGATACAAATGAAAAGAATGATGGAGATACAAATGAAAAGAATGATGGAGATACAAATGAAAAGAATGATGGAGATACAAATGAAAAGAATGATGGAGATACAAATGAAAAGAATGATGGAGATACAAACGAAAAGAATGATGGAGATACGAGCACGTCCTTGCTGGAGAATAAGGAACAGGATGGTTTAGTGGAGTAATTTTATGCCAGGTGTAGCAGTTTCCTGTGGAAATAGAGGTGACTTGTAAGGACAAGAGTCTGGGGGGGGGAAAACTGAAAAGGAGTGTTATTTTTAAATGTGTTTTGATGTTGTTTTGTGTTGTGTGTGTGTGTTTGTGGTTTGTTTGTTAGCTTTTTTTAAACTTCAGCTGTTGATAGCTTTCAGTTTTAGAACGAACACCTAGCAAACTCAAAACCAGTCAAAACACTCCAGGACTGTGCGCACTTCTGGTTGGAAGACGGGTGCCAAAGGTACAGTCCTGCTTCTTAAAGAGATCAGGAAAATGAGTTCCTGACTGCCAGCTTAAATTGAGTGGGGAGTTTTTTTTTGTCCAGGCTGTTGTCCTCTCTCACCAGTCGTTTGTTCCTGAGTGTTGGTTGGTGACTCCTTGAAAGGGTAGGCTGCGTCCCCGTCTCAAGGCAGGTCCAGGTTGCACAGGTCAGGTGTCTAATATCTGCGATATGCTAATGTCTGAGCAAAGGAGGGGTTGCTGTCCTTTCCACCACTTGCTGCTTGAAAAGTTCATCGTATTTATCATACTGGTGGCTACATAAGTGTAGTGAAAAAGACCATGTTTGCTGCCTGGAAGAGCTCAGCGTGAACACTTGAGCTTGGGCTCTTCTAGTTTGTAGTAAAAGCTACGGATTTTCTTTAATTTCCAACTATTCCAACTAAGTTCTATCCTTGGATAGAACTGTGTGAGCCTATACCAAAGACTGTATTTTCTTTGCTTTTTTACAAAAACAATTTCAAAAAGTTTAAACAATTCGTGCTTCTGTTCAGATGGGTTTAGCATTCATGTGAATGCCAAAAACTTGCGCTTTTGGCTCGAGTAAGAATTCAGTGGAGAAGTAATGATGTGGTCATCTGGCTGTTTACACTTCATCTCACATGTTAGAGATATGTGGTTATTTAAATAAGGATCAAAAAAACAGAGGAAAGAGAACAGATTATTTCCAGCAGGTGGTTTCTCTGAAATGCAAAGTATGAGAGCGAATCCCTAAGGAAAGCCTAGGTATTTATTTTTCATCAATCTGAATTTAACAACCATGTTGAAAGGGTGGTGGCGACAGCTCTTGATTTCTAGTGGGACTTACACTTCAGTCGTCTGGCTGCCTTTGAAAGCTACCTCTTGAAATCAGGTAAATAATACGTCTCATTTTTAAGTGCTGTAGTCAGCACGTCCCTCACTTTCTGTGCCTTTTAAAACTTGAGGGTCAGATCTTCGTGCAGAGGACTACGGGTATATGAATAAAGTTGCCTTCTTACGTACAAACATCTGGCTTGTCCAGGTGTGCAGTTACTGAGGATGTTCGCAATTTTGCATGCAGCACTAGGCCCAACCACTTGAGAATTTTTCTCCAAAAAGTCTTATTGAGACTGTTTCCTGCCTAAGGATACACAGAGGAGCTGTAAAACTTGTAGACAGTGTTACGTGCAATGATGTTAAACGTGTAATAATGTCCAAAACGAAAATCTCTTTACCAGAAACCTTACTGTTTACATCAGAAAAGAATGTGGATTTCTTCCCATTAACTATGCTGGCATTGCAAATTGACTATTTATATGGTGAGGTGTGTGTATTTAACAGAGTATACTATTATACTGCTTGGACCACTATAAAAGTCAGTATAAAGTTGTATCTGACTCAGTTTTCTGTTGAATATAGCAAAACGTGCCATCTAAAAGTGCCTTTTAATTCTTTCAGGTATTTTCCTGCTTGTATTTATCACTTTTAATGTAGAAAAGTGTATTCTTAAATATCTGGCTACTCACTGGGATCACATATTTCAAAGTGTACTGGGTCATTTTAATGTCATTTGAGAATGTAAAAAAGATCTCTGCAATACTGCTATCTGTTTTTCTCAGGTAACTGAATTGCTACAATACGTTTTTATCAGAGTAGTCCAGTTGTGCATTCTTCTGGTCAATGTTTCTCACTTCTCTCTTGCTGAGAAGGAATGATAAGTCCGTAAGAGAAATTCAAGTTTGTCTCGTCCCTCGAGTTCAGTTTCTGCAGTTGCTTGGATGAAGTTTTTTAATTCATGTTCTCTCTAACCAGCTGAAGAAAATGTACTGGAGGCAGGGCGTTTGTTTGCAACCTCTTGATGTTTGAAGGAAGAATATGATGCTTGTTGACTGTTGTTTTTATTTGTTCTGTTTTAACTCAGCTTTTGCTATGGCAATATAAACCTTATTTTACAGTTGTTTCCAATCTGAGGTTGACTTCCCCTGTGCTTATTTTGGTATGTTTATGGTAACAGTTCAGACACAAGTTCCAGTTTGCTTTACATTGAGGAAGAAGTTGTGACTTAATTTTTTAAAAAAATAAATAAAATATAACAATACTACCAGATAGAGTAACTAGTGTATGCCTTTCTTGAGTGTGTGTATGTGTGCATAAACTCAGCCTTAAGTTTTTGATGTTTGACTGGGTATCCATGCCATTGCCCTGGAATAGAAATGGGTTCTAGAGAACCTAATTTGCTGGGATAATACACTGCTGAGCCTGTGTGTCCTTTTTCTCACATAACCGTATGATATGCTCTTAACTGCTGTTTTTAAAAGTATGTGTTTAGATCACTGGGGAGAAGGGTTGCAAAATAGCTTAAGCTTTCAATATAAAAATCAACAGTTCTGTGGCTTTGCGGTAGGGACATGATGGTTGTAACTTATTCATGCCCAATTGACACATGCAATTGAATTCCAAATTAATTTCTTTTCAGGGATAATAGCATAAAAGGACATTTTACGATTAGTCCTTCAGCCCAGAAGAGACCTGTATGAAATTATGTGAAGCCGTTTTTTGTTCTAAATTGAAGTGCGTGGAATCAGCACATACTGACTGCTTCCTTGGGTTTGGGGTTTTTTGTATTTATTTTGAGACATGTTCAAAGCACATAGAAAGTGATGTTTGAAATCTTCACTACTGAGGATTCCAGTAACTGCTGGGAAAAGATTCTGGGCTGAATTAGTCAGCTCTGCCCTTGGAAGGCATAGGAAACTCAGCAAGGATTGGCCAGTCCATAGGCCCTCTCCAAAATTTTCACTTAATATGACTGTAAATGAAAATACTTATCACTTGGATCTTTGCTGAGATTGCACCATCCTGCAGTGGTTCCTGTGCAGTGGTCTTTATCTAAAAATAGAAAATTTCTAATTCTGGTTAACCATTAATTGGAAGGTGGGGGTCCATAGTAGGACAGCAGTTCAGAAACTCCAGGCCAGAATGTTATTTGCCTTTGAAGAGCGAAGAGAAGGAGTTTATTTTGTTGTCCAAAGCTGAAAAGATACTTCTCGCTGTTTGGACTTGAATTTGTGAGGTTTGGACTATCTTGATCTGTCAAAACATGCAGTAATTGCTCTATTTTTAATCATGTATGTGAATAGTCTAGTGCAAGTTCCAGACAAACCAAGAGCCAAGTTACTACTCTTTGGATTAGAGCAAAATTTGCAAAGCACCAGTAAGAGATGAAAAAGTTGGTTTGTTGCTGTTGACACCAGACTAACATCGAAACTTCAACTCCTTGACCCTAGAGGGGGAAAAAAAAAATCATGTTACTTGACTATTTATATGGTGAGGTGTGTGTATTTAACAGAGTATACTATTATACTGCTTGGACCACTATAAAAGTCAGTATAAAGTTGTATCTGACTCAGTTTTCTGTTGAATATAGCAAAACGTGCCATCTAAAAGTGCCTTTTAATTCTTTCAGGTATTTTCCTGCTTGTATTTATCACTTTTAATGTAGAAAAGTGTATTCTTAAATATCTGGCTACTCACTGGGATCACATATTTCAAAGTGTACTGGGTCATTTTAATGTCATTTGAGAATGTAAAAAAGATCTCTGCAATACTGCTATCTGTTTTTCTCAGGTAACTGAATTGCTACAATACGTTTTTATCAGAGTAGTCCAGTTGTGCATTCTTCTGGTCAATGTTTCTCACTTCTCTCTTGCTGAGAAGGAATGATAAGTCCGTAAGAGAAATTCAAGTTTGTCTCGTCCCTCGAGTTCAGTTTCTGCAGTTGCTTGGATGAAGTTTTTTAATTCATGTTCTCTCTAACCAGCTGAAGAAAATGTACTGGAGGCAGGGCGTTTGTTTGCAACCTCTTGATGTTTGAAGGAAGAATATGATGCTTGTTGACTGTTGTTTTTATTTGTTCTGTTTTAACTCAGCTTTTGCTATGGCAATATAAACCTTATTTTACAGTTGTTTCCAATCTGAGGTTGACTTCCCCTGTGCTTATTTTGGTATGTTTATGGTAACAGTTCAGACACAAGTTCCAGTTTGCTTTACATTGAGGAAGAAGTTGTGACTTAATTTTTTAAAAAAATAAATAAAATATAACAATACTACCAGATAGAGTAACTAGTGTATGCCTTTCTTGAGTGTGTGTATGTGTGCATAAACTCAGCCTTAAGTTTTTGATGTTTGACTGGGTATCCATGCCATTGCCCTGGAATAGAAATGGGTTCTAGAGAACCTAATTTGCTGGGATAATACACTGCTGAGCCTGTGTGTCCTTTTTCTCACATAACCGTATGATATGCTCTTAACTGCTGTTTTTAAAAGTATGTGTTTAGATCACTGGGGAGAAGGGTTGCAAAATAGCTTAAGCTTTCAATATAAAAATCAACAGTTCTGTGGCTTTGCGGTAGGGACATGATGGTTGTAACTTATTCATGCCCAATTGACACATGCAATTGAATTCCAAATTAATTTCTTTTCAGGGATAATAGCATAAAAGGACATTTTACGATTAGTCCTTCAGCCCAGAAGAGACCTGTATGAAATTATGTGAAGCCGTTTTTTGTTCTAAATTGAAGTGCGTGGAATCAGCACATACTGACTGCTTCCTTGGGTTTGGGGTTTTTTGTATTTATTTTGAGACATGTTCAAAGCACATAGAAAGTGATGTTTGAAATCTTCACTACTGAGGATTCCAGTAACTGCTGGGAAAAGATTCTGGGCTGAATTAGTCAGCTCTGCCCTTGGAAGGCATAGGAAACTCAGCAAGGATTGGCCAGTCCATAGGCCCTCTCCAAAATTTTCACTTAATATGACTGTAAATGAAAATACTTATCACTTGGATCTTTGCTGAGATTGCACCATCCTGCAGTGGTTCCTGTGCAGTGGTCTTTATCTAAAAATAGAAAATTTCTAATTCTGGTTAACCATTAATTGGAAGGTGGGGGTCCATAGTAGGACAGCAGTTCAGAAACTCCAGGCCAGAATGTTATTTGCCTTTGAAGAGCGAAGAGAAGGAGTTTATTTTGTTGTCCAAAGCTGAAAAGATACTACTTCTCACTGTTTGGACTTGAATTTGTGAGGTTTGGACTATCTTGATCTGTCAAAACATGCAGTAATTGCTCTATTTTTAATCATGTATGTGAATAGTCTAGTGCAAGTTCCAGACAAACCAAGAGCCAAGTTACTACTCTTTGGATTAGAGCAAAATTTGCAAAGCACCAGTAAGAGATGAAAAAGTTGGTTTGTTGCTGTTGACACCAGACTAACATCGAAACTTCAACTCCTTGACCCTAGAGGGGGAAAAAAAAAATCATGTTACTCTGAAGAAACTATCCTGGGATAGCTGTGAGTGTGACAGAATAAATTCAAGTATGTGAATGTTGTTGAGGGGCGGGGAGGAAGCAAAATGCTCAATAACCTTCATCCATGTGCACATCTTCAAGAGCCAGCATTTATTTGCAGGCTGCAGCGTACACAAAGATGGGAGCAAATTTGTGTCCCCAAAACCTTTGAAGCTAGAAGCCAAAAAAAAAAGTAAAATAAAATATAGGATTCATTCTTTTAGTGTGATTTTTCTACATCCAACTTAGTCATTGGTTTAGTTTTGATAAAGTATAGCTTCACAGCTATTAAGTAAGCATGGCTTACCTAATTTTGTTTTAAATTTGTAATTTAAATTTGTAAACTCCTCTGCTGTTTTACACTAAAGTATAGCTTCACAGCTATTAAGTAAGCGTGGCTTACCTAATTTTGTTTTAAACAGAGGAATTGTGGTGTAGAAAACTGATCCAGCCTGGAGGAAGAGACAGTCCTTTTACAAGGACTTAGAAACTTCTGGCATGTTGTTTCAGCAACATAAATGAAGTTTCAATTAGCAACACCCCTAACATAAAAAAGGGGTTTTTTTTGTGGTTTGGGATGCATCCATCTCTTGTATTAAAGAATTGCTGCACACAAGTCAGGCTTTATGCTTCTGGGCAAGATGAATCTTCAAAACTGGAATGAACTGCTTTGTTTCTTGCTACATATGTGGGTATGTCTGTATTTTTTAGAGAGAGATGTGTTTTTATCCTGGTACAACTGCTACAGTCACTTGTAGTTGTAGACAGAGTGCCAGGGTCTATCCTGACAAAGATGCTCTAGCAGCAATACTCCATCAGCACACACAGCACCTTTTTAGAGATGAGGCTAGAAAAATGGCCTCACTTTTAAAAACTTGTTTTCTCAGAAGAAAATGAGAGGGAAAGTTCTGGCAATGTCCTGTCATCTTGCAAAAAAAACAAACCAAAAACAACCAATTTTTTTTTTTCTAGCTGGAAATTATATGAACTTAGAAAGTTATTTAGAAGAAATTAAATGTTCCATTAAAAAAACCTTCAGGGTACATCAGAGTCCCTGTAACAACTTAAACCTACGTGCTGCTTTTCCCAGCAAGGGTTAAATATTATTTTTTACTGCAGTACTTGAATGGCCACAGCCACTCCATGAGAAAAGGAGAAAGCCATGCCTGGCTGAATTTACACCTTGAAACAGATTTCTCCCTGAGGTGTGATGGCCTGATATCTCCATCAGCCAGCTGGAGCATCGCCTCTGCTGTTACATGAGACTGTTTCCTTCAGAAATGGGCAAGTTTTGAGTGGCCTCAGGCCTCCTGGTAGCAAGGGGGGGTGTTGGAGCTCTCTCACGGGCTTTTCCCACTCAGATTGACCTCCCCAGTATTTCTCAAAGGTCTTCAGAGTGACCAGTGCTCGCTTCTGAACATGACTTGAGGCCATCACTGGTGCCTGCTCAAAAGGCTGCGTCCTTCCGTGGGGGGGGGTTGGGTAAATACTGGGAGAGGTGAGGGTATGTTTCCATCTCAGAGAGTAAGTATTTCTCAAAGGTCTTCAGAGTGACCAGCACTCGCTTCTGAACGCGACTTGAGGCCATCACTGGTGCCTGGCCAAAAGGCTGCGTCCTCCGGTGGGGGGGGGGTTTGGGTAAATACTGGGAGAGGCGAGGGGATGTTTCCATCTCAGAGATTGCCTCCTCAGATGAAACGGGGACAAGTTTGGGTCCTCTTCTTTCTCAAAATCCCTTGGTGT